AAGTCCCTTGGCCCTTAAAGGGGAAAGGTTGCCTACCCCTGATCTTGAACATTGTGTGAAAGTGGTGTAGCTACCTGTTTCTTTTAGTGAAACTGGGAAGCAACAGTAATGTAATGCCATATAAGCTATAAGCAATTTCCCCTCCTCTGGACAATGAGACTATGGCATTTCTCAAAAGAATGCTACTTCCTCAGACGTCTACAAAAGTTTATGCTACAACTTCTTTGGCACAGTTAATCTCAAAGGTGCTACAAGATCCCTTTGTATACCTTAACAGTTTATTCAAGATAGTCATCACCATGTACAACTAAACATTCCCTATCAGTGTCACAATTTGCAGTACAAAATCATATCATAGAATCATAGAGTTGGAAGAGACGTCAAGTCCCATCAAGTCCCAACTCCCTGCCATGCAGGAATACATGATCAAAGCACCCCTGACAGATGGCTATCCATCTCTCTTTAAAAACCTCCAAAGAAGGAGACTCCACCACCCTCCGAGGGAGTATGTTCCACTGTCCAACAGCTCTTACTGTCAAGAAGTTCCTCCAAATGTTTAGGTGGAACCTCTTTTCCTGTAGCTTGCATCTATTACTCCATGTCCTGGTCCAGTGATGGTGAACCTTTTGGAGCCGAGTGCCTAAACTCAGTGGCATTCCCACACTAGGTATCACTGGGTGCTTGGGGCAGGACTTTGGGGGGGGACTTCTGGGGCAGGACTTCTGCCTTCTGGGGGCAGGCCTTCTGGAGGGAAAACCCAAGGCACCCTCGCTCCCTGACAAAACTTGCCAAGAAAACTCCACGATAGTTTCACCTTAGGGTTGCCATAAGTCAGAAATGACTTGAAGGCACAACACACATATCACACTCTCTCAGCCTCAGAGGATGGCAATGAAAATCCCCCTCTGATGAAGCTTGTCCCATGATAGTTTCATCTTAGGGTCGCCAGGAACTGGCGCTCGGAAGGGAGGGAGGGTGCTCTGGGCCCATAAGTTGGAAATGACTTAGAAGAGGCACACAACAACAACAACAACAACAAGCATAATAAAACACAGAAGGCACAGCACAAGGACAAGAACAAAGAGAGCCAGCAGTTTGAGCGTATGACTCTAGAGACCAGGGCTCAAATCCAGGCTTGACCATGAAACCCACTGGGGGACCTTGGGAAGGTCACACTCTCTCAGCCTCAGAGGAAGGCAATGGCAATATTTTGGCAAGATTTGAAGAAATCTTATCAAGAAAAACCCATGATAGGTTTGCCTTAAGATCGCCCTAAGCTGAAAATGACTTGGAGGCACTCAAGAACAACAAACATACTAAAGCACAGAAGGCACAGCTCAAAACAAAGAACAAGAACAAAGAGAGCCAGTGGTTTAAGCATGGGACTCTAGAATCCCAGCTCAGCCATGATACTCACTGGGAGACCTTGGGCAAGTCATACTCTCTCAGCCTCAGAAAGATAATGGCAAACCTCCTCTGAATAAATTCACTTGGCCATGAAACCCACTGGGAGGCCTTGGGCAAGTCACACACTCTCATCTTCAGGGGAAGGCAATGGCAAATCTCTGCAGAAACTCACTTGGCTATGACACCCACTGGGAAACTTTGGCCAAGTCACACTCTCTCAGCCTCAGAGGACGGTAATGGCAAGCCCCCTCTGCCAAGAAAGCATGTGATAGGGTCACCAGAAATGACTTGAAGGCATTTCTCCTATTGTGTCCTCTGCTGCATTTTCTTCAGGTTGAGC